GAGATATTTCCTATAACTTAAGGGTTAATCGATTAATACATTTCACATTAACACCAAAAACTAACACAGAGGACTGACAGACAAATGAAAGATTTCAGTCAGATGTAGTGCCTGAAGCAAACACTGAGCTTTCTGCTTCAGATAACCCTAGCATCTGTGTATCTGCTATGGAGAAAATGAGTATGTCAGTCTTGGGTCACACGAAGTGAAAAAAAAAATCTGATAAATTCTCATGTCACCACTCCCCAGTGCTTGAGCTTAATACTTTTCTGAACCAAAGAAAGAGATTCTAGATCTTAGAAGTGACAGTCAATACTACATCTTATTAGATTTTCTCTGATGAAGAAAAAAATAAAATCAAAGGCAAATAAAGAAGGAATAACTTAAGTGTGGTTTTGTGGATCTCTCCAAATGCACAGTGTGAATATAGAAATACTTGAAACTTTCAATTTCCATGTCTTGTATACAAAATAGAAGATAATAACATATTCCATAAAAAGAAGTGTGTCAAGGAAAAGTGGCTCTTTCTGTTTTGAAATCTCCAAGAACAAACTTACTGTCTCCACCTCTCTACTTAGCTTGAAACTTACAGTATTTGACAAAGTTTGGTTGGGGCTTCCACAGTCCATCCTCTTATTGTATTTTTAACTGTGTTTAACTTGATTTCAGCTTGACTTTGGCTTTTTTTTTTTTTGTAATACTTCTGGCCAGCACTTAATAGACTTGACCAGAGAGCTTTCACACATAAAAAAACTTGTTTAATGTAAATGGCAGAACTGCAGTAAAGCGAAAGAAAGAACATTTCAAAAGGAACAGAGTCCACATATGTTTATTTTTCTCAGTTCTGAATTTTTAGAAGTCTTACGCTGCTGTGAAAGTGCCTCAGCCAGCTTGTTTTGCTAAAAGGAAAGCTTGGACAACTGCCTTTTGCAGCTTCCAGAGACTAAATTTCAAGCATTGCTAGGGATTGTCTGGTTTACACCATCAGCAACATGAATCTCAAAACTGTGCCAGGAGTCTTTCAGACTTACAGTGTCTTCGCACCTGGACTGGGCTATGAGATATTTCATCTGTATCTGTTTTACTAATTTTCCGTTCTTTGGATTGTATGTATTTAATGCAATCTGTGGTGTAAATTTACAGTACCTTCAGCTGGAAAGTCAGGAGCTAACACCCACAGACGTGGACCAACACTTTTGAAAGGTTGAAGAGAAATAAGTGCTCTCATGTAGATCAACCGCATTCATAGGCACAGTCTCTCCAACACATCCAGTACCCAAAATAATGAAAATGAGGTGTCTGAACTCATTATACATGCCCATAAATTAAGGAAATCCTGTTGACTCATCGATGATTCAATATTAAAATTCCCCAAGCCAGTCTGAAGCTGGTCAGGTGGAAAGCCTGTCTCTTGGAAAAATAAATGCTAGGCTCCTACCTCATGTGCTCTGAACTACTGTGGGATTCATTCGCTGTGTTAGACGCACAATATTAATCACAACAAAGCTATTGTTGTGCCTAATGGAGTTGCGAATTACTGTTTTCTGACTGATGGATAGATTGCATGGGATTAACCCTAGTCAGGTACTTTAAACGATGAGAGTCTCTCCATCCAGCACCAAATTAAGCCACGTAAAACTGTTACTCCTCCAAATCTCAGCAGAGTTTGAATAGGGAAGAAGGCAAATTAAGTAAATCACTATGCAAAAAATAATTACTTTTGTTGGTTTGCTAAATAATGAAAAATAAGGACGGGTCTAACTTCATAGGTAGTGCAAAGATACATATTTACAATCTCCAGTGCAAAACTACACAGAAAAACTTGGCAGTTTAAAAGAATCTGTGATCATTCCTCCCATATTTTACATAGTCTCCAAATGATTTAGTTATTGCATTTCATTAGACGAGTGAACAGCTTAGTTTTAGACATCCAAGTCCATATTCCATTTAAATGCAATGCACTGTAATCATTAAAAGATAAATTTAATTTCCTGTAAGCCTGATATTGATCCATTTATCTATCATAATATCTCTTCGTGAATATGTCCATTTATTTTAATGGGAGGGATTTATTTTCTTAAAGAAAGTGATACCAAAACTGAGGACGGATAATAAATATATAAAACTGAACTTTAAATGCTCGTGCAAACATCATACACATATACAACATAGCTGCTAACAGTCAATAAAATATAAGCACCTACTTAAAAGCATTTCCTTTAAAGCAATTGCCTGGATTTAATGTTTAACCCTTAGGGAAAAAATACAGCAACAACACTTTTACTGTATAACATTCTCATAAAACATGGATGAGCATTCTGATAAGACAGCATGCATCAGGAATTTACTGTATTAAGGTGCTAGCAGATCAAGGGGGAAAGAAAATCATGTTCAGAAAGACAAGAAAGATGCTGATTAAAAAATGAAAATAAAAACCCAAACGAATCAACAACAAGTTTTAAAACGAGCATTAGTGTTGCCCTATATAGTCTTCAAATATTATTGAAGATACTGACTTTTCTCAAGTCTTATTTTTTACCTCCACTTTTTTCTGCCAGTCTAAATCTAGTCTTTATGCATTTCTGAATCATATGTATAAAGCATTCCCAAGCAAGCAAAAGGGAGGAATCAGATCAAAGACAGTAAACCTAACAGATAAAACAGAGCTGGCTTATAATAATAAACCACAGAAATACTACACTTTTCATTGGGTCGCACTGCCCAAGGACTGTAGGGGAAGATGATATTCAGATACTAGTATGGAATTAAAATACAGTAGGAGGCCTGAGAAAGCAGAGAGATAAAACTCACATTTCACTTGAATATAAAACCCATTATACATAATTTGCTGGTGCTAATGTATCATAGATAAAAATAGAGCAGCACAGAAGGCAACCTTGTAAAAAAAGAAATTTCACTATGATATAGAACGATTTTTTTCAGACTTAAAACACTGTAGAGAATGACACACTTACATTTTGAGACATGTGTAAGTAATCCAAGTGATTAATCTGAATTAGTTTTAGCAGCTTTAGTTAATGATGATTCCCATCTCCTAGGATAGTTTCCTTCAGGATCAATTCAAAGCAGTGGGTCTACTCACAGATAGATATGCTACTTTGAATAAGCAAACATTAGTAAGCTTTCAGTCATTTCTGCTTTATGCAAAAATAACCCCTTCCCCTTTAACAAAATGCATACTTGAAAATATAAATTGAACCAAAGAGTCAGGAGTGGGATATTCACAAAGAATGGGATAAATCTAAATCCTAGGGGTTTTGTTTCTTTGCTTGTTTTCTTGTTCATTTGGTTTTCCCCAGAATACTACAGTGGGTTTCAGGCATGGGTTTTGGCATTTTATTTGCTTTCTGATATTGTGTAGGTATGGTGCTTGAACTACTATCACATGATGTAGTTTGACGCCTGGGGGGAAGGAATGATTTACCACATATTTCTTGCTAAAATTCTATCTCTGAATGAGCTCCACAACTCCATCATTGAAATTACAATGAAACATGGGTCAGCCACTGCTAATTTTTAGTAAAACAATAATAACATAAAAGTAATGGGGTCTTCATGATTTTTAACGGTGCAGTCTTCAGAGAAAAGCACCAGAGCACTAAAATGCTCTAGTGACATCAGTCTGGACACACAAAGTTATGAGTTAAGTGGTAATTCCTGTCTACAAGAAACTGCAGGGGAATTTTGTCATTATCTTCTTCAGCTCAAGGGTCCATGTGATCTATGTTTTTGTTTGTGATCACCAACTGTACTTTTGTGAATACTTCTTAATGATATTGAATAAGCACATATCGAAATGCGCATATAGATTTTTGACAAGGCAATGTGACTAACCTGAGTGTAGAAACACCTGTAATTTCACAAACTGCTTCAGAAAATTCAGGCTCTGCATAAGGGAGTATGACAAACTTAGAAAAATCTAGACCCATAAAATACAAGCTGAAACATCACCAAAGACAGAGAGAAACAAAGAATTAGTTCTGCGGAGAAATGCAGAAAAGGTAGTGGATCTAATGGCAAGATATGAAATGAATCAAAAAGATATGAAAGGGAGGCAAAACAGAGCTCCACGGACATTTAAAACTCATCTGAAGATTGAAATGGCAATGAGGATTAAAACTACAGGCAGAAAAAAGAGCTAGACTTCTTTATGGGTTCACAATGTTCTCTGTACTCCTGCTAGCAATTATACTCTAGAGTGGCAATCAGTCATCAGGAACATCCAAAAAGAGTAATATCTACCGTAACAGAAGTTATTCCATTCATACTGTGCAATGAGCCTTTTCCATGGTCCAGAATTAATTTCTCCTATATCAAAAGTTATACTACACTAGTGTTTAAGCATAGTGAGACATTTGATCCTTATGAATGACAATTCAGCTGCAGTTAAATAAAAGTCAGAGGAAGCTTAAGCTCATTTAAAATATAAGATATATTAATATTTATTATGAACACTGGGTTGACTATATCGAAAAGTAATATTCAACAAATGGAATTCTGTGAAGAGGCCATGTAATCTGTCTTTCTTTATAATGAGAGGTTAATCTAACTTATCAGACTGCTTCTCAAAAATCACTGATTATTTCTTCTTCTTGCTGCTTCTCGTTAGCTCTTACCTTCCAGACTCAAATGTGAACCATGTGGAATCACGTCCATATCTCCTCAAAGAGCTCAGAGGCCACATGACCAGCTTGACCTTGGCATTGTGGATGTCCCAGAGATAGATGTTTTCATGTGTGATCTGCATCGTACATTCTCCATAGATATCTAAATTCGGCGTAGGCATAAGATATACATTGAATCGTTCTAGAAAAAAAGAGAAAGCACAGAATAAGGCATCACTGGTTAAAACAAGCTTTTATACTGGGGGAAAAAAAATAATGTCTTTAGTTACTGATGGTTCAGAAATCAAGACCAACTTCTAGCCTTGAACAGAGGCAAGGATCCAATGGTGTTGAAGAAGCCTCACAAGTGTACAAGGGAGGAGTAAGAAGAGAATCTTCATTATATTTTCATTATAAATAATAAAGCAGACAGAAGCATCTGTCAGAGATGATTTGCATAGTCCTCTGACATATGTCTTCAGCAGTTTAACTGAAGTCCTTTATCCTCACATTAAGGTCTATGACTCTCTGAAAATCAAAATTCACAATGACGTGAACTTTGACAGAGATTCCCCTCTCAAGGAATAGAACTATTGATACCTCAGCAAAACATGTATGCACAGCCATTGCCCCTTAGAAAAACCGTCCTTGAAACTGCGATCTTGCTAATAATCATGTTCTTTGTGTTCAGTTTCTATTTATTTGCCAAAGTCATTATCGTTTGTCAAATTAATGACATTTTTAATCACCCGTTGCTTTCTTGAAAAATCTGATTCAACACGATATATTATTACGGTCATGACATCAGTTGCTATCAGCTGCATTTCCACTGCAAAGTGCAGTCACTGCGGTAAGAGGTCAAGGGTATTAACAATTTTCTGAAGTGCCTGAATTGCATGTGATTTAACAAGCAAGGCAAAAACTGTCCTAAAAAAAAAAACCAAAAAAACAAAAAGCAGAAAAAAATGAGATGATATATAACACTATTAACTCATATGGAAGGAAGTAAATTACATTAACAGCAGGAGAAGTTTAAATAAAGATGCATTTTTCTTTGAAGAATAACATTTCTATGAATTCCTGCTACAAAGAATGAAAAACTCAGCTAAATTTCACATTGTACAGTTGGAAGTGCTAGCCTCTAAAAGGCACTGAAATCTTAAGGATGAATAGCATAATTTGGGAGAGTGTAGTTGATTCACAACTCCCTCTCAGAATTTTCTTCTATTTTTGAAATGGGACAGAAACACAAAATATCAACGCTACTGCACTGAAGGGTGTTGACAGAAAAGGTAAGAATGATTTAAAGTATGAGCATGACCAATGCTCATTCTATAAACAGTATTGAATAAATGTATTTTGAAGGGACACCTGATCAGAAACTTGTCTCCACTTACTTCATAAATGAATGATAGTTTGGTGTGGAACATTTTTAATCCACCATTTGCACTGTATTTTCTCACTGTGTTCTCATAAAAATTAGTGAGGAATTTAAAGCAATCAGAAGAGGAATAAAGTAATTTATAGCAATCAAAACTAGATGCAGCTTCCCACTGTATTTGACATCCAGTATCACAGATATTGTGTCCATTTTTTAGCACTTGAGAAACATATATATACACTTTTCTGACAAATCAGTGAGAACAAAATAAGTGAGTTAATATAAAATACGATAGACATGTGTGTGAGTGTGTGTGTTTGTGTGTGCATGTGCATGAGTGTGAATAAAGTAGCAAAAGTTCGGCTGAGGAATCAATGGAAGCCAGGAACTGCTGGGTGAGCAATAAGAATTGCCGGCCTGCACAGCTATAAGTAAACTTGTCACCCTCAATGTTACTCTGTTTCAGTCAATTTAATTCTGTCCTACTAATGACTCCCCAATTGATTCGTTCAGTCTCATAGCCATTCAACCTCTTCTCCCAGACTCTAGTTCTCATTAATCACACTAATGGGTGTTAGCCCTAAAAGTTTCATTTTATGACTATGGTCCCAAGTGTGAAAAGCCTGATGTTTTGGGAAAGTCTTCTGACACACAGCACAAATAGATTAACAGGTGCTGCTGAGATCACTGTAAAGAATTTCCTCTAACCCTCAGAGGAGTGCATTGGGCACAGGTCTAACCTAACATCCACTAAAGTAAATGGAAGGACTCACACATGGGAGCAGGAATCAGTGACTGATTGGGAAGGGAATAGTGGAGAACAAGATAACTTACACTTTGCAATGAAATTATATTTATATATATCCACATGTCCTTGTGACGGTCATGCAAAAATGCCTAGGAGCTACGCAGGTGTATTTTTATAATATATTAGACTCCAATTTGCATTATCAAGCTGTTACTTATTGTTAGTCGCTTCATCTTTTTGAAGGATGCAGATAACTGACATATCAGCCATTTCTCTTTGACATTACATGAAATCACACAATATGTCTACAGGGGAATAGAGCTACTATATGAGAACAGAAATCTTTCCATTTCCCTGTCTTCACTGACAGAGCGCCTTAGACAGCAGAGAAAATGGAAAGGTACAAATATTTACTGAAGTAAACGTTAAACTGTCATGCTGAAGGTGTAGAATTTGTCAACTTGGTTTAGAAGTTACCGGGATACTCGGGAAACACAACTTCTCTGAAGTGCTTGACAATATTATTGCATGAAGGGTATTCAGGACATACAGTATCCTCAAACTGTCAGGAGACATTTGCTGACTTTGCATGGAAGGTCAGAGTCTAAGGTGAAGTGTCATGGATTACAGAAAGTATGTCTGATTAAACTGAACATCAGTTGTGGGATAAAAGCACCGTTGGAACTTACTCAACTTGGCAAGAAAAGCAAGTGTACAAACATATATGCTGGAGAAGATTGAAGATAGATATATTTCCTTTTGAAACAAAACTTAATACTTCTGAGTGGTGGAAGATTGAGGATATGGAAAGATGTGGATAGTACTAAAGGATTTTAGAAATTAAAATGCAGGGTATGTTTTTTCCATTTCAGGAAATATTTGAACAGGTATCTAGGTAATAGAAATACAATCGCTCAGTTTTTAAAGAGACAAGTTTTTCCCTCAAACTCATTCAGGTAAGAACAAACATTCATAGGTTAGATTTGAGAATCCCAGTTGAATTCTGTCACTAGGTCTTCTGAGTCACATTTAATAGGATATTTAGCTTCTCTGTGGGTCAGACACCATCTGCATAGGAGTAGGATGAGGCAGTAACAGTTCACTGGGTAGTAAGATTAAGTAAACAGAAGCTAATGAGAGACCCAGAAAACAGGGAGATGCGAGAAGCCAAACAAACAGATGACACCCTGTTGGACAAGACAAGGCTGAGACTGAGCAGGTGCAATTCCTCAGCATTCAGCATCACTATCCTCCTCTCTCATCTAAAATTGGCGAGAGCTAAGTTTATGGAGTGGGGGAGCCAGGATGATAAAAAAATGCTGGTACATTGCTACACTCATTATTCTTTTCAATATAACTGCTCTTTCCCACCTTCTTGGACAAGCACAGCAATGCTTCATCATACACTTTGTGCATGTAAAGGTGTTTAGCATTTGGGCTTTGGCAAGAATATGACCTTTAATAATGTTTTCCAGAGCACAGGAGTGTAAAGGTCTTTGTTAAAATGAGCATATTGACTGAGACGGGGACTTGGCAGCAACTTTGAAACGCTCTCAGCCCTTCAGCTCGAGGTCCAGCTGTACTGGGGAAGTAAAACGACTGTGAGGCCAAGTGATCCTAGTTCTGCTGTTCTGTCACTGGATTCCTTTGCCTAAATAATCCCAGTTGGAAAACTTACCAGATGACATTGCAGTCTTGCAATCTAGATGCTTTGATTCATTTCAGCTTTAACGAGAGAGAAAAAGCTACTTATGGAAGGAGGCAGTCAGGTTGGCGAGGTCTACATAAGAAGAAGCTTTAAAAGCAAACATTCAGGTTCTTTCTGGAAGAAACTCCTCCTTCTACAAGACTTCTGCTGCTGACCATCTGTAGTTAATTTTTAGGTGAAAAGAGAGCTTTAAGTCTTCAAGTCACACAATTTTCTGTTCATTCTTAGGTCAGATCTACTAGCATGATTCTCTCCTGCTTTACACAGTGAGGAATGGACACCAGAATTAAAGATAACCCTTTGCCTATAACTATTATGCTTTGCTTTCATTAAAAAAGTATGGAGATGTTTATTAACATCTCAATGAAAATACAAAGGCTATAATAAATAAATTATTTTAAATTGTTTACTGATAAGGAGTAAAGCAGAGAAGAATCTGAAATCTCACTGGACGAGCCAGCCTTTAAAACTGTAAATGCTTTTCTTTTCTGAATAAAGCTCGCTATGTTTGGCTTATTTTTTAAGAATTCAAAGTATAAAAAGGGATTAAGGATAAAAGAAGATGAATTAAAAACATTCAGAATGCTTTTATGTAGTAAATCACAAACAGGGATTCTACAGACCCTAGAAAATGCCCTAAAACAACTCAGCTCTGTCAATGTAATTACAAAGTCTCTATGCTTTGGCTGTAATTTGTAATCTCAATATGTAGCATAAAGAAAATAATTCATAATCCTCTTCTGAGGATTCAAGGACGTTGCTCATCATAAAAAGCTACATTTTTACTAACAGAAATTATGAGGTTTTTTGCAATTAAAACCCAGGAAGAAAGACTGCTGTACCCTGGAATATTTTTGAACAAAAAAGAATGGTTAAACAAACGTTATGAAAAAAGGGAAAACTTTACAAAGGAAGTAATTTTATGATATATTAAATTAAATATTAGGCAGCATGTAAAAGTAAAAAATCAATTATCTTTCAAACTTTTCCAGACTTCGAAAGTCAAAAATAGCTTTATAACGCATTAAAAAAACGAAAGCCAAAGCATCAGTAACACATACTAGAAAAGCCTCGTACTGACATAAAGGCATGACACCTAACAATAAACCTAACAATAAATCTAACAATAAATAAATGTTGCTACAGCAACAAAAGATGGATCAATGCTTTTCTTCCGTTAAAAAATTTGCATTTCTACATTTGTCTATTTTCTTCACTGTTTACATCAGGTTCACAAGTCAAGTTTAATATAATAGGTTTTGTGCAATTTTTCAGTATTTTAGTGTTATTACTTAGTATTTGAAATAGATAGGAGTAGATTCTTCACCAAAGAGAAGCACTTGCTCTTAAAGTCTCAATTTAGTAGAACTGTCTACACATAATGCTTTTTTAACCAATATTGTCTTAGATATTCTGGTTCTTTCCTGAAGTCATAATTGTGTATTATTATTTGTCTATCATTGCATATACAGCTCTACTGCCATTATAATCTGTTATCTGAATAGGATCATGTCGCCTTCACTGCTTTTGATTTAATACTATATTTTTCCATTCTTTATCAAATGGACCTTCAGAAACAGTAAGAGACTGTGTTTGGTGTAAAAAGTAATTTAAACAGAAACAGCACTGCTGCTATAGGGCTGAGGAACACAAACAAATCACTTAGAGTTGCAAGAGAGAGATGGTAAAATGGTTGGAGAGTAACAGAAGCTTCATTTCAAACCCCATTCTTATTGGAATTTGCTTATCATTGCAAACTAAGCTGCCATTAGTTGTGAGTGTTAAATGTAAAAAGAAAACCACCTAAGGGTCATTTTCTGCAGTGAAGTTTACACAGGAAGACTTGCAGTAATACTTCTTGAAAGTAATAACAGATTAAATTCAGTTAGAAGCTTTCTGCTACCGACGTGCTTTGCACAGGAATTGATTAGATGTCTTCTCTGATCTCCCTCCAAGACATAATAGTGGGAGGTCTCTGCTATAAGCAGTGCAATGGCTTTTTTAGGTATCACCACTTGGTGCTGGAAGGTCAAGCGCCAGTGCAAACACAAGAAAACAGATCTCACTAGCACTTAGTGAGCAGCTTAAACTATATAAAGAAAGTCTTTTTCAGATCACTGCACTACTGTAAACTCTTATCCTCAGCTGACAGAAATGTATTATGAACGTATGGCCTTTTAGCCATGACATTTGCACTCGAAACAGCAATTTTGCCAGCCTTTGGAACGAACTGTTTTGCAAACCATATTCTTGCATTTGTCTCACAGAGAACCAGGTGTCTTCCCTTGTGAAACTGAATGCTCATCTCAGGAGAACCACAAGAGTGAGAGTGGGAGTGGGAGGATAAACAGGCTTAGATATGACAAAAAGAGGTATTACACAAATCACAGAAAACACACATATTCTCCTTGCCAAATATTTTCTGAAATGTGAGTCAGGTATAAAAAAATATCAGTAGCATGTAGCAATTTTTATGGTCCCAGGGCAGATGCAATACCATTAAGAAAATGACTACAAATGTTGCAGAATGAAGGTACTGTCTATGGTGGTCATATACAGACACTAAAGCACAAAACTGTAAACAGAAAATGTACTGGTTTTTTTTCAAGAGATAGCAAATTATCTGATCCTTTCAGTGAACACCCTTACAAGTATGTGATGTACATCATGCAAATGTCCTTTAAGGACAGGAATCATCAAGTAGTTGGTCACATGAAGAACATACTGCATTAAAAGTATTATTGCCAGGAAAATGTAAAACATTGCAGGAAGAAAGCCTTATTAGGCTAGTTGTATTATGGTCAAGGAAGTATATTTATCAAATTTTTAACACTTCAGAAAATCTTCAGGGCAAAGTAACCATTTGAAAAAAGGCAGCGGAATGAGATGTGATGAATTGTTAATACACCTGTTCTTTTGTGACTAATGGCATTAATACCCTGTCATATCATAGAGATATCAACAGTGTAACACCATTATTCACTTCCTTTTAGCCCTTAAAATGTAAAACCCAAAATACATCTAAAACTGAAAAACCACTGGCACTGTAGTCTTTACGACAAATGCCTTGCTCAGATCCTGGGACATCTTCTGTTCAGTGACCTGAAAGCAACCTCTCATAGGGTTCAGGCCACAGAACCTGCATGAAACCAAATGCTGAGGCTTTACAATTCTATTACAGGTTTTATAAACTGTATTCTGCCAACTTTGTTTCAAGTAAATATTAATACATCGACTAATTCAAGAGAAATTCTATGAAGCTGATGTTCTTGCAACATGTTCTGAAACATTATGGTCCTATACCAGTGTATGGCTTTTATTTAACACGGTTCCACTCAACTGATTTTACTGAAAGATTCTGCTGAAAAAATTTGAGTGCAACTGCAGGTTCTTACGGCTTTTATTTAACACACACACACACACACACACACACAACATAAAATGACCCTGAGAGTGATACAGCTTCTGTGTTCACAATGAGCAAGATTTCAGATATTTCATACATATAGTCGCTTTTCATGAATTTCAAATTGGAAAATTAACTTTGACCTTTCAGTTTCAGGACAACAAAAGTATAGGGATATGGTTTATTAAGGATTGTCAGAGTTAGGTTAATGATTGGACTCAATGATCTTAAAGGTCTTTTCCAATCTGGGCAATTCTGTGATTGCTACTTTTAAAATGTTTTTAGGTAGCTTTTGAACTACAATTTCTGATAGCACACCTTTAAAAGCTACAATATGGGGAAAATGTGCAATAAAATAAAATAAATTCAAAATTAATATTTTTATCAGACCTCACCAAATGAGTCCACCCTCCAGTTAGTCACCTCTTCCATGAAATTGTCATGTGGAGAATGACACTGCCAAGTTTGTGGAGTAGGATAACTAGTATAAATTGAATTCACGGTTCCACTCAACTGATTTTACTGAAGGATTCTGCTGAAAAAATTCGAGTGCAACTGCAGGTTCTTACAGCACACCAAAATGAGCGAAATGCCAGATTTCACATACATAGTAAGAAACTCTATCCTCTCCCTTCCTTCCAAGTTGATTAAAAGACCCGCAAAACAGAATTTGCTTTGCTTCTGAAGAAGATCACTTTGAATTTCAAACATGCTTATTAAAATGCAGAATTGTGCATCAAGGGGAGGAGGGAAGGAATCAGATAGCTACACTTGTCTGAGATACTGTAACTAATGATACAGCAGACCATGCTTGTCAAATATTGAATTATCCATATTTAGCCCCCTGGCTTAAAAGAGAATGGTTAAGGATGCACTCCATGCATTCTTACTCACGTGATTTGTACAACCAATATATGCTTTGCCTCTTTGTTTCCTTTAGTTTATTTGCTTAGAACAATAAATATGCTAATTGTGTTCATATATACTGGTTGGTAGTACTGCAATTATTTCTAGAATAAGGCAATTGAATCAAGACTAGTTCATACAACAAAAGTAATCTACATCTTCTGGAGGTCAGGTGTGTGTAACTGGATCTCTTTCAAGGAGAAGATGAAATGTAGTATTTGCCATCTATGTCCAGAAGCTGCTGGACAGTATATGCTACAGAAGGAGCCGGAGGAATTTCAAGCTATTTTCCCGCTCACATCACAGGCTTTTTGATAAGATTTATTCCCTTTTGTATTTGTGAAGGAGCTCCTCCTGCTCAAATAGTTCTCTCTTCAGTAGCATCCATATGAGTTTTATACCTATGGGCTATGAACACACAGCAGATAGGATGCTTTGAGTGGTCTGAGCATTATCACCTTCCTACAACCTTAGCAGCTCTCCTTTCGTTAAGTAGTTTGGGACTACAACTTAAATTCTGTGTCTCACAGCAGGCAAACAACTTCACAAATACTTGAACTCCCTTTAAATTGCACTTTAATATGTCTGATTTTTGAACAAAATTCCTACAAGATTTCTGTATATTTTATGTAATTACATTCAGAGATGTCTGGACTCTTTTATGAAATTAATACAATATAATAAACATGATGCTGTTCATTCTATAATTTAATAATGTAATTTTGTTTATAATAATAGTTGGCTTGATATTTTATGACCACTGAGGCAGTTTGTTTTATTACTTTGTTAAAAGCTATGAGATCTTGTAAAAGCATCAAGACAGTAATAATCATTGAGAGCTGCAATTTAGGGAGGAATAAATGAGCGCATTCTGTGCTGCCCTCATGTTTATTAATAGGAATTAAATGACAAGATAATCACAGATTTTCTTTTGTAACTCCATATTCTATCCACTAGCATCCTTCCTGTGCACATGTCTAATCTAAAGTTCTGTCTCAAATAGCTTTTAGATGAAGACTTACAAGCTCAGGTTTAGTGCTGACTAGCAACTATCATTGCCCTTTTCACCTGTATTTGACAACATTTAGATGACCTTCATTATTCAAGACAGGTGTGAGTTTAAAGCAAATGTGCACTTTGCAGTCTGAAGTAGCGTTGATACGTTCACCGCTGTCTTTTAAAGGCTGTGGAATAACAGATGCTGTTTTATTCCTCTGCACAGAGGCCAGTTTCCAGAACCAGAAGGGTCATAGTCATCATTTCCCATGACAGGAAAATGCAAACGCAATGAAGACATGAAGTCACTCTACGTGTGCTATCTGGCACTGGAATTTAATCATCTTTATTTTTAGGAAAAATAGAATTACGCTCGAAACCACATTGAAATATTTAGTTAGTAATGAAATGCTTCTAGCTAATAGTAAAAAATCCTCACAACAACAAACCTAAGAAAAAATAACCTAAGAACTGATCTAGGAGTAATTCCTAAATTACTTACCATTTTGTTCTCTCTGGACTCCAGCAGCAAGCAAATCTGGTTCCCCAAGACTTATATCATTAAGCCTGGTTCCTAGACACTCCATGCAAAGATGTTTGCACCACTCCTCTGCCTCCAGTTCTGGAAAAACATAAAAATAACATGTTATTCAAAAAAATTGTGAAGTTAAATAAATACTGTCTTACCAGCTTTAGGACAAAATGCTTTGGATGAAACATGAGTTATTAGCATAAAGTTCCACATGAATTTCTTTGTTTTGAATCATGAACTTGTAAAAGTGTTTACACTATTAGGACTGCATCTTCTACTTTCAAATTCAGGGATAGAAGGTGGAGTTAATAGAAAAGAGAAAGGAGTAGTGAGTTTTCAAGGCAGTATATTTCTAGTAGGCCTCTTGAAATGTTAGAAAAAACATTAGATATAATATCTGAAATACTCTTTGCTGCTCTTTACCCGAATCTGAACTATAAGAACACTTTCTATTTCTAAAGCTTCTAGAGTATTTTTGTAGGAGCAAAGATAAAAGCAGTCATGAGGGTCTTCAAATGTAAAACATCCTTCTCTGCTGTATTGAACTGGCTGTCAAGTTAGCCGGGATAATTAACGTCTTCAGTTCTGTTCCTCTTCCTTTTGTCTTAGAGCAATTTGGGCATTAGTTGGAATATTTGTATGAAAACTTCTGCCGTGGCCACAGCAGACCTCGATGAAGATAATGGCATTTATCTGCTAGCGTACCGATGGTAACCTGTTCAACCTCAGGTGACTGAAGGCCCACACTAAGACCCTAAATCACGTTGTCTGCGAGCTGCTTTTTGCTGACGATGCCGCCCTCATTGCTCACACAGAAGCAGCTCTGCAGTGCTTAACACCCTGCTTTGCAGAGGCTGCTGAGCTTTTTGGGCTGGAAGTCAGCTTGAAGAGGACAGAAGTTCTTTACCAACTTGTACCTCAGGAAGTCTCCCATCATCCCCACATCACCATAGGCAAATCAGAGCTTAAGTCAGTCCAGCAGTTCAACTACTTAGGAAGTATCATTTCCTCAGATGGTAAGATTGACAAAGAGATAGATGACAGGTTAGCAAAGGCACACAGAGCTTTTGGAAAACGCCATAAAAGAATCTGGTGCAATAAACACCTGAAGAAAAGTACAAAGATTAGTGTCTACAGAGCCATTGTACTGTCTACTCTTTTATATGGGTCTGAATCATGGGTCATCTACCGCCACCACCTGTGACTCCTCCAACGCTTCCATCGGCACTGCCACCATACAATCCTTAATATCCACTGGACTGACTACGTGACTAATGTTCCTGTCCTTGTATGGGCAGGGGTCACCAGTACTGAGGCCATGCTGCTGAGGACGCAGCTGCGCTGGGCAGGGCACGTCTCCAGGATGGAGGATCACCGCCTCCCTAACGTTGTGCTCTGTGGTGAACTTGCCACTGGCTGCCTCAACAAAGGAGCCCCAAAGAGGAGATACAAGGACTCTCTGAAACAATACCCCTCTTTTGGCCATACTGACTACCATCAGTGGTCCACTCTGGCCTCCAATTGGGAGACGTGGAGACACACCATCCATAACGCTGCTGCCTCCTTTGAGAACGCACGTAGAATTAGTCTCAAGGAGAAAAGACAATGCAGAAAGAACTGTGCCTCACCAATACCCCCTAAGACGACTTTGTGCTGTGCCTTTTGCAACTGGACTTGCTTATCCTGCATCGGCCTTTTTAACCATCAGCGCACTTGTAGCAAGCATGGGTAGAGCCCTTCCCATATCTTCGTTCATGAAGTCTAGCCATGATGATGATGATGATGAAGTATGAAAACTCAAAACGCTCTGATCCTTTCTGAGTCCTCCATTGCCTTCCATTGATGTCCATCTGAGAGCTCCTTACCTGTCAGTCTGCCCAGACATAAACTCCCCAAGAGTTAACCCACCAAGACAACACAACAGTCCCCCCTTCACATCCAGCCTCATCCTATCCACTTCCCAAACTTAACATCACAAAATCTCTGGCACTGGTCAAAAAACCAGTATCTCAAGTTGGTGTTCAGACAGTGTGAAACCACAACTAATAAAATTCATATAACTAGGTTGACTGTCTTTTATTACAGGATAGGCTTCACCTAAGGAAAGCTGTCTGGAGAGCAGGCTTGGCACCAGGCACATCCTGAGCATCCATTGCCACAGTCAGACTAGCTCTGATCATCTTTAGAAGTGGGTGACTCCAGTCATTTAGAAGGGTCTCTATTAAACTGCCACATTTATTTCACATCTATTTTGGGGACATCCGGAAAATACTTCTGTGACAATCTCTCCAATGCAGTGTTGAAATCTGGAGAGAGAGAAAAATACTGCTTGCAAGCCCTGAAGCACCCAGTGAAGATGACTCATTGTAATTAGTGAAAATTTATATCCACGACATATCGTTCCATGCCTAATTGGTACGATCCTCTAATGCTCGCCTGGTTAGACATAGATCCCAAGTGACAGAAACATTTGCTGGACGAGAAATAGAGATCAGCATACAATTCCAGGTCTCCAAGAACCTTTGCATACCTTCCTTCTTCCAAAACCCTGAATAACCCAGGAACACATTGTTTGAGTTATTCTTGCTAGAAGCTGACCAAATTCCAAAAAAACAGCTTAAATGATAACAACTGTTGTGGCATTTCTGAGAATCAAATATGGTTGCTGTCACATGGACACAAACAATTTGGGGGCCTTCTGCTCTAAGTAAAGGGGTTTCCCTTAACTCTTCCTGATTTGTCTCAGGACACAGATCCCAAAAGCTGCTCTTCTCCGAACATCCTCAGATTCTGGTGGTAAGAAACAGAACATTCTGCCAGTATCATCCAGATGACATTCAACTTTGTATGTGAGAAGAAAATATTGAGCTAACAGCCTACTGTTCTTTAACACTTCTACAGATACAGCCTCTTTGATGAAGTAAGGAGAGAATAGGTACCTCTCTGGACAGCAATAAAAAAGTCATGATTTTAAAAGGAGCAAGATGAATTTGTTAAAAGTTGCATCTCCAAAATTCACCTTCTGCTCAGGCATGAAGAAATTTCCCTCATTTTCCCTTCCTCTCCTTCAGCCTTTGCTATTTCCTTGGATATCAGTGAGGGCTGTTGAATCAGAACCATGCCTTATAAATCACACCTTTCCAGAGAGAGGGCTTCATGCCAGGGACATGATACCAGTGGATCACAAGACGTGTTGCCATATTCTGGCAGCACGCAGAAGGGGTGTGAGGAGCAGCGCACTCGCACATGGGTAAGTCGAGATCCACCAGGGAGGGTTCTCCCTAAGCTGCCCAGCATCTGCTTCCAGCTACAGATAAACCCGGGGGAATCAGTGCAGAAAGGCCAGTAGCACAAAGGTGACAGTGCAAATCTAGTCCAGTGCTCCCATGTTTCCTTCCTTTCAACAATTTATTTTCTGGCTAAAACATATCACAAAATGATTTAGATGCTGGTAGAATGCATATCTCTATATAAAGCCTGTAATTTTTCCTGGAGAGTGGCCAGGATATAATATTTTATGTGTTTTACAACATCTGGATTTTCTTTCACTGTGCCTGCACCCAGATTGAAAGAGTACATTCTGGAAATGTAGAATGAGATGATGGTAAACAAACACTGAACTAATCTTTCTAATTTTAAAAACATCTAAGGAGAAAGGGAAACGTATTGAGATCTCCATAAATCTAGCTTAACATCAATATATACTCAAAACCAGACTCTTATGTAAAAGCAACAAGTTCTATTTATATGTATTCTAACACCATATTTCCAGTAGATGTTTTCGGAAACAAGCAAAAGCATTGTTCTAGGATGCTGCTTCTTGTGAGTGTCTTTGTTTTTGTTCCTACAATCCACTTGCCTCTCTCTTACAGGAACATTTAGATCTTGAAAGTTCACATCCAGAAATTGCCTTTCATGTTTGACTCTGGCAGTTTAATTTAAGCTGCTGCTTCTTCACTGCCAGACGTCGATGATTAGACCCAGATTAGACCATTCTACAAATGCCACACAGAAGAAACTTATCTTACTGTGAGCATTATAAGATCACGGCAAAAGTGTAGGTGATAACATGCATTGTATTGCCATAAAACTCAAAATTTGTACGTTATAAAAAAGACTGACTTGATACTACAGAATATAGTTTCAATGTAGAACTGGAATATCTTCCCACAGAAGTGTAAGGATTTGTGTCTGCTGTCAGAAGCATCAACATTATCTACAAATGTGTTTGGAAGGTCAAGGGTATGAGCACGTTGTGTGAGTTAGTTTTACCTAATATATCCTGATAGCTATGGCTTACTTGCAAGAGATTGCCTTCAACCTTTTCCTTGACAGACATGTGAAATGTTCTTTAGAAGAAGGTGAATTACCTTTCAGAGCAAAAGATGTATTTCTCCTTTCATCACATGCATCTATAAAGCAGTTCACCATTCTTTTGTAAAAGGTCTATAGAATGTTTTCTGAATAACAAATTAAATATGACTTACGAATTTCATTTATTATAATGTATAGTACATAAATGAATCAGCCACAGTAGCAATCTTTAAGAATGACAGCTCTCATGTCACAAAACAGAGATGCCACTGTTACTTTATTTTGATGATATTAATATATTGAAACAGATGAAATATTACAGTGGAACCAAGTAATAAAAAACTATGATCAAAATTCTTCCCTTTAATGTATGCAGATTAGATTTACTTGCACTAAACGCTGAGTTTTTAGCCATAACATATGCTTGTCATTGAAAAATTTAGTTTCCTTTTAAGATAACCATGTTCTTGAATTGAATGATAAATTGTAAAGCATGCTTTCACAGCTATAAATAAAATCCAAATATTTGCATTTTCATCTTTACCGTTATTCGATTATAAAATTGCCATACAAACATCACAAAGTAAGATAAAATGCAAAGAGATGGGAGACCTTAATTTGGCACTGTTTATTGCACAAAAAATATTTCTGGGAAGAAATTTGTAAACTTGTCTGAAAACACACACCTTGGAATTGTCTTCCTGCAGTTTAACTGAGCTTCTAGTTCATGCTTGAAGTTATATGTCTTTTCTACTTCAGATTCCTGGTGATAAAAC